ATTTGTACGCGAAGGGAAGGGGTGGCGAGTACCGTGAGACGTAGTACCCTCTTTCGAAGACCGTTCATTCGTTTACTCATGAAACTCAACAGAGCCGTAGAGCCAAGCCGCGGGGGGAGGTTCAGGGAACTCTTCGCGATACGTGGAGGGAAATGCCGTCAGGGTAGCTTGGTCTCCGCCGGGACAGTGATATGTACTGGTGTTTCACGAGAATGAGATAAATATATTTCTACGTGGGCTTTCCTCCTCCTGCCGCTGCCAGCGAAGCAGTTCATCAGTTGGCCAAGTTCAAACTTGTGTACTGTATGTAGTTGTGTTCAACACGTCCTGACTTCTGTGCATCTCATTTTAGGTATTGTAAATGTGTTCGACGTCAACAAACGGTTGCCATTCGTCTCGGCGATGCTGACTTTTCGTACCACACCCTTTCTTATCAAAAGACGAGTAGTTTGAGGTATAGCATGCCTCCATTGGCCCCGGAGATGGTGAGCTATCGTCCCCTGAATTAAGGACGCAACCCCGCTTTAAGGACGTTTTTTTCGGGAAAAAACATGTGCGTCCTGAAAGCGGGGTCGACTGTAATTCATTGCTTTCGCCGCGACAACACGTACGACGTCAACAGTCACGAAACCATGAATGAATCACCTCCAATGTCTCCAGGAGAACCTGTGTCGTGCTCGCCCAGCTGCCGAGCTTGTCGATCATGGTTGTCAACTCGTCCACCCGAACGTCCCTAGCCATAGCGTACTTGACCTTGGGCATCGAGACGAGAAACAAGTCAAACGCGAGCGATGAACGACAAGTACGATGGCAATACAAATATCCGCATATACACCAAAAAGAAACAAAAAAACGAACCATCTCCTGTGTGACTTTCCTCTTGTGTGACTCCGGCTGATATGTACGCCGAAAGGCCTACAGACTGGCGCCAGAACAGATGGGACGAAGACACACCTACCATGACGACAAGGGATAAAAACGACGATGCAGAGAACCAAGTCTCGAATAAAAACGGTTTCATATCAAGCTGACGAAACAGAGCTCGTGAAAATACTTCAACGAACACGCTATGTACACGATGACGACATCGCACATCGTTAAAACGAGACCGGTCTGTGGGACGCGTCCGCTGCCCGAGGATGAAGCCACAAACACAACACGCCCACAGCTGTCAATGAACGCCTGTCTGCCTTGCAACAATAAAGTTCAATTATGTTGTCCTGATGTGCTGTACACGTTGGGGGTGGCACTTGGCGCCCACCCTGTAGCGAACATTTGTGTACTTCCTCCATCGTAGCGGTTCGCTGAAAAGAACCGCTACTTCGGGCGGAAGCTCAAAGCTTCGCTTTGTAGCCACCATTGAACACAGGCTTATTGCTAAGCTTTGGAATGGTACGGTAGGATTTAGGGTGGAGCCGTTCGCTGCGCTCAACATCGTTACTAAGTAAAAATCTAGCCCCAACTCCTAAAAGCTACTGCTATAGTATTCAAAACAGCAGGCCAGACGTGTTTCACACGTTTTCGCCGTCTGCACACACCGACTGCTCGAGCTCCCTGCCGTGAAATCGTCGTCTCGCTAGCGCGTGTGCGGCTGGCCAAACGATGAGGTCAGGGCAAGGCTCGAGCAAGTCTGGCATGTGAACAGGGCGAAGACGTGGGAAGCACATCAGCGCCCGGTGATAAAATGCTACAGCAGTAGCTGTGAGAATATGAGACTCGAACGTTCGCGTAATAACGACTTTGGATTGTGGGACGCGGTCGTGTGCGAAACACTCCCATAACCGCTCACAACGTGTGCCACCACCACACAAAACCACCCTCCGACAAAATCGTGGGCAGCTATTTTTCTTTCTCCTTCATGATCTGTAGACCACGTACACACACACACATGCGTCGCGTGTCCAATGTCGCAGCAGCGTAAACACGTGCAGTTTTCTATTATTTTTGCTACGGTATCTGTCTTTCATCCAGAGAGTAGCTTTGACTCCCCGATGACGCTCGGTCACAGGGTCCTAGATTGTGGCCTTTAGAGGCATTTTGTGTTTCCACCGCACTAAGACTGTCGTCTTTTCATTGGTCAGCCGGTTAGTGCGGTCGATACTAGTTAAGAAACACACATACGCACGCACACACCTTGAGCACCGCTTGTCGCTGATCAAGCTTGCCCTGCAACAGGCCGGCGTACATGGTGTCGAAGATGACGTCCTCCAGCCGCCTGATGTTGTCTATCCCGAGCGCGGTCTTCATGGTGGCGTACGGGACCAACTTGCTCGTGTGGGCCAGAGAGACCACGCTCAGCATTCGTAGCTTATCCACCTATTTTAAGGTTACAGCCGCCCGGTGGGCATAAGTACAGAGGGAAATTGGGAAGCGGTTGAGGAATCTTTGTTGGGTCTGGTAAGAACGAAAAGTTGTAGATTCAAGGGAAACCGAAGAAAGAGGGGGTGTGAGGGATTCTAAAGGTCATGAAAAAACAAAGGGACAAAGCTAGAAAAGGGGAAAAGCGGGTGACGGATTACCGTAGAAACGGGGTACATGTGGATGCACCTGATTCCCCCGGTCAACATGCCCCAAAAAATCCTCCACGTATATGGTACGGTCATGATGGTACACCAAAAAAGGCCAGCAGCAACGACATCTGAAAGAGAGCACTTCCGAGATACGATAGTAGCGGTATCCACTCTAACAACAAAGCTCCTCGTATGCGTACCTGTGCGCCGGTAAGCTTGGGCAATTGGTCCGCCTTGGCCTGCGCGTCGGCGTAGGTACCGTAGGCGAATGTCTCCAACAGGCGGAGGTGCGGCTCGTGGGGTGTGCCGGCGAGCTGCCACCAACCCCAGGCCAGGACACGGCCCGACGCACCAAAAAACAACAACGACGACGACTTGGTTCATCAGCATACCTGAAGATGGCTTGCTGACGCGGGGAACTTGCAGCTTAGCACTGGGGTTGCGATATCAAATATTGAAAGGGGATAAGCAAGCCTACTGTTGTTGTTCCGGCATGGGTCGTGCAGGCAAACGAAGCGACGCATGGATAACCGGGCACGACACCCAAAAGTTCGTGAAAGACGGTACTCTCTTATAACGGGAGCATGAACACATACACGCATCTAGGGTGTGTGTCAGTTGTATCGGGCGAGGATCAAAGCACGCAATGCAGTTTCAAGAGGAGGGGAGAGGAGGGGATGAGACCGGCGAGGTCTTTCCTTCTGAAGGGTCGAAATGAAACTAATCGCCCTCGGCCACAGCCCACAACTCAACACCTCGACTACTGGTTGGAGTGCTCCCACGAGAAAGGAGAAATCTAAAATCTACACACACACACGCAGGTTGTAGCTTGAGGCTGGGGGGGGACACGTGCCCGGAGTCGGGGGGGGCAAGATGATGGGAAAGACCGTACGTCGGTACACACGAATCTGCTAGATACGCGGAGATGGTTTTTTAAGACGTGTTGGCCAATTATACGACCACTTCGCTGACTACCTCTCCACGACTGCAGATAAGCTAAGTGTGTCTTCGCCCGGCCTCTTGCGACAAAACCCTATTCACTAACCACTCCCGCTGCGGAGTAAATATACCTGATCGGTCGTATTCTACGCGCTGGACCTTACCGCCTGCACGTTGGGCATCGCCAAGAGCTCCCCGAAGACAAAGAGCTTCTTGTTGGAGAGAACCTGCTGGATCAGCGCCACGCACGCCGCGCCCTTGGCACCCTTGGCGAGCACCAAGAACTGCACCAGCCCTTCCTCCGCCATATTTCTCGCTGCTTGTGTGTTTGTTCGGTGTTGCGGACGGCCAACGCGCGCGGGGCAGACCAGAGGGGGATAACGCGGTCAGAACACACATGAGAAAATCAATGCATGGACATGAATGTGACACGTGGGAACGAAACCGCTGCGGTTTTTATCTGCAGAGGGCCTTGGATCGTGTCCAAGCGGGACGGATATCCATGTATGGTACTGTTTTTTTTTTTTGTCTTCACTTCAAATCAGATCTCACGGCACTATAATAGTGCCGTTTACTCCAACCCGTGGTCACACAGAAGAGCCCCTCTCTACCCTCCCCTCCTGCGGTACTTTGCCTTCGATTTTTTATGCGAGAAGAGTTCAGCACTCTCTTCCCTCTGTGTACACTGTACACAAGAACTAGCGCTATCCACTAGGCCAGGAGCGGAAGCGAGAGAAAAACTCACTTTGCAAGAAAAGCTCGCTTACGCCGGGATTCGAACCCCTGACCTGACCTCTATTTAGAAGGTTTGGAGGTTACCAACAAGACCACCGGGGCGACCGGTATTACTGTACACCGGGCGAAACATCCTCGCAAAACAACGCAATGCTAAGCACTCAGCCCATCGGAAATAAATACTTTAGGATTCACCGCTTGTTTCGTCCAATTTACTCTTGCTATCGTGCAAGCAGGAGCACCACGTATCCAGACTACGGGGTGCGACACAGAGCACGATAGAGCAACAAGTGTTGAGGCCATGCGAATCTTCGCCTTCTTTCATGACGATGAGTCTAGCTCCTCTGCAGCAAACGAATACATGCACCAATGTTAGGCTGTTGTTTACTGGAGTGCTGAACAGGGCTAGCAGGGTCGTTAGGCTGGTGGGGTGAGGATGTACTCGGCAGCGAGCGGTGCTCGACTGCTGTTGGTTAAGAGAGCCGGTGTCAACGACAGAAAAGCAAGAGGGGACCCGCAATATCGTCAAGACCCTCCGAGCGAGGTTCTACAGCACAAACAATCGTCCACTGTACCTCAAGAAGAAATGCAGTGGTGACACCTCTTGGATGGAGGGTGTAGTGAGTCGAGGAGGGTGCTGAGTACCAATGGCTAGTCAGTAGTGCTTGAGCAATCACTTCACTTGAGCACTCACGACGCTCGCACGACGCTCGGGGGGGCTTTGAAATGGACTCACGCGGTATGGAAGACTGCTGTTGTATCCCAACTGGGAGCCCCCGGCCAACCTGCGAACTGGCGAACCTGACAGCTGCTGCTCCTTGTTTTGTGCGTCACATATAGCCAACTGGCAGCAGCAAACCTAGGCACGCGTTCAGTGCGTACGAGTGCACGACAACCAGGAGGCAGTGCGCCGATCGAACGAGAACGAAAGGACTCAAACAGAGGCAGAGACCGCATGCTGTTGACGATCTGTGGGCACAATGAACATCGATAAGCTCCGCACTAAGGCGGAGGGTCTGGTGACCCAGCTCACGGTGAAGGATGAGTGTGAGAAGAGGGTCCTGGATGCTGTCTCCAACAACAAGGTAACTTGAGGCCGCAAGAGCTACATAGCTCTTGACCACATAAACATGTAACTTTGATCCCCGCTCCCGATGCTCCCTACCGTCGCATGCTGGCTTCGATGTGCTCACGTTCTGCTACACTGCTGCTGCTTCCTCTCCTCTAAAACAGTACGCTGCACCACGCTCCTTGCTGAACGAGGTGGCCGAGGATACGTTCGCTCACGACAGGTTGGTGTGAACAGCGAATCAAACAAGAGTGCGTGTGGCTGGTGTTGTTTCGGAATGCACCAGTGTCACGGCGCGTGCCTTGTGCGGCGGCGAAATTGCGGGATGAACGATGAAAGACGATGCGTTTTTTTTTTTTTGGCCGATACGACAACCGCCCTCTGTGAATAACACGATAAACGTACAGCAGTCGGGCAGAGATGTATGGGCAGTCGGGCTTCGCCTCTGCAGCGAAGCCTTTCTCCTTCCCTGTCATGCACAGGCCAAATGGCCAGACTTGTGGTTCTCAGGCGCGCAGACCAATGACTGCTGCTGTATTTTCTTCCGAAGAACTAGAACCCGAGCATGTTGTAGTCTATGACCAAATTCTTGTAAAGAACTCCTCCTTTTTTACGTTTTTACGTCTCTGGATTTGTGAGCTATGCTAACAACACGGTGCTCATCCACGGCCGGAGGTGTCCCAGGATTCCTGGTGGTACCTTGCGTGTGTTCTGCATGCATACGACCTGAACTGCATGCCGGATCCTTGGACCCTCAGGGGGAGGGGGGGGGACGCAAAGCGTAAGACTCAATCCAAACGTTTAGTCCGCACGTCCGCACTGTTGCATCACACACAGCGACGCATTGACCAAGCGCCACACTTTGTACAGAGTAGAACACGGTTTGCATGTGGCGTAGCTGGAAACTTGGTTACGTTGTCGTACCGACTGCTCTGGTCCCCAGTCCACGGGTGAACGTTTGTTGTTCTTCCCAAGGTATGACTCAGTCGATCCTGGATGCGGCTGCAGTGTGCGTGTGTGTTTGGGAGCACGCCTCCTGAGAAGCCAACCGGTGTGTGAAGAGTATTGATCGGGGAAAGGCGCCGACCGCTCTGCCATCGGACCTCTGCGGTGTCCATGATGGAGCGGGTCCATATCCCCGAGAAAGCAACCAGAGTGAATGGGTGCGACGTGCCCAATGTTGTATGCACACGATCGGTACCTGGGCGCTGACAAACGCCCTGACGCCCCCTGTTCGTTTTGTCACTACTCGGTCGAGCAGATACGGCACGGTAATGCGGGTGGTGTGGAAAACTATCGACTCGCCACCGCGGAACTGGCGGTCCATCTCGAAGGCGCTGGTTCTGGTGGATCACCTCGTCAAGCACGGCGCGGAGAGGGTAGTGGCCGACGTTCAACAGCACGTTCACGAGATCGCTTGCCTCAACGAGTTCAGATACGTTGAGAATATGTACGACACGGGCGGCGGTGGTAAGTACCGTCGCTAGCGGTGTTGGTGGCGTCAAATGTGTGTTGCTAACAGGGCATGTGTGCGTTCTGTTCGGACGGCTGTTGAAGTTTGTTTTTGTCAGTTCTGCCATTGCTGCTGGCTTTCTTGCTGATGTTGTTGCTCCTGCATGCTCTACGGGCATCGTGCGTCGTGTGCATCTCACAACGTTCCTTTGTTGCGAAACAGCACAGCGGTACGCCACCGCTTCCTGCCCGTGAACACGCTCTTCATCAACCGCAACGACTTAAAACCCCCGAAGGGTCCCTTTTGTTTCCAACGATGTCTTCCCGCCTCTCTTCGCCTGCCGCCGCGCTGTCCAACACTTGCCTCGGTTGTGCTGTTCGCCAACGGCGCAAATCCACAACAATCAGTTCGCGAGAAGTCCCGGGAGCTGCTGAGTCTGATGGACAATCCGGATCTAATCCAGGCCCAGCGTCGCAATGCTAGAGACCTGAAATCCCAGTACAATGGCTACGGGGGCGACATGCCACCAAGGCTATCCGGCGGCAGCGGAGGCGGTTCACGTCCCCCCCACGACTCATCCGAAGGCGCCGGCGGCAGCGGCAGAAACAGCGGCGAAATTATTGACGATTGGAGGGCCGGGTACGACCGCAGTCCGACGCCTCCACAGATCGACGCGAGGAGGACTGTTGGCGGCAGGTCGGAGTCGATCGACTTCGACGAGGGTAGGGAAGGGTACAGCGGGAGGCTTAGCCGGTTCCAGGAACAGGAGAAGAGGGAGGCCAGACTGGCGTCGGGGGGGCGCAGGTTAGTTTGTGTGTTGGGGTGTTTGAGTTTGCTGCTGAGGTTGTTGGGTAGCGTCGTGCGTGGTGTTGCTTCCTGGTGTGTTCGGAGTCGATGTCGTTTGCCGTAGTGGTTTTATGTGTAGTTGTTGTTGAACCGCAAGGGGTACTGGCCTGCGTGATCGTTGGTTCCTCATCGTCGGTTGTTCCCGAATAGTGTTAGCGCCTGCTGGGTGGGAGTGCTGGCCCCGTACATCGTGGTACAACTCATTCAACAGCGAGTCATCCATAGATAGCAGTATCGGCGAGCGCACGACGAATAGGTCCAACCCTCTGGAACGAAGTATGGACAAAACGCGCTTTCGTTTTTTTTTCGATAGGCGTACACCCCGCGAACCTGCACCGCCCTCTGTATACTGGCGGAAAGTCACGGGGGGCGTTAAGATGTTCTCCAGAATCGTGCAGCGTCCCCCTCTGGCCTTCCATCATCCATGCATGACAGGTACAAGCCATCCACCTCTTGCCTCACCAATCGACCCCCCTCCCCGTCCTCAGGGGCAGTCGGGACAGCGCCGAAGGCGCTAGCTCAACCGCACCAAGAGCAGGCGGTGCTGGCGGCAAGGGTGCCTCAGCGTCCAAGAAACGCACAGATGGCAAGAAGCAGTCGTCGGGGCCGGATCTACTGTCCGGGGATGATCCGTTCCCGGTATCGGCGCCTCCGCAGCCGCAGAACGAATTCCCGTCGTTCGATTCCTTTGCTGCGGCGCCGCAGGCCTTTCAGGGCGGCGCGCCCGTGGCGCCGGGTGCTTGGGATGGGGGAGCGGGCGTGCCGCTGCAACAGCAGCAGCAGCAGCAGCAGCAGCAGCAGCAGCAGCAGCAGCTGGCTCCAGGTTTACAGGCGGGTCAAATGGTTCCGTATGGGCAAGGGGCTCCTGTGCCACAAAATCAACAGCAGCAGCCAATGCAGCCCGGGATGCAGGTTCAGGGCCAGACCGGCTGGGGTCAGCAGACATTGCAAGGGCAGCAGGGGATGCAGCCGCAGGGGATACAGCCGCAGGGGATGCAGCAGCAGGGCGGGTACATCCAAGGACCGGGTGTACAGTTCCCTGGGCAGCAGGGAGTGCAACAGCAGCAGTATGGTCAGTTGCAACAGCAGATGCAACCCTCGCCACCACAACAGCAGATGTATCAGCAGTACCAGGTGGGTTGGATCTTTTTCCAATGGGCTGAGGTTGGCGTGATGCAGGCTGATCTTTGTTTTTTTGTCGTGCTTGCACAGCCTAGGCTGTTACTGCGTTTGACGAGTTCAACTTTGGCATGTCGTATGACTCTTTGGCAAGATGTTCGGTAGGCGTACTTTCTCGCCTTCGCCCTTCGTCCGCACATTTGATTCTTGCACATTTGAATAGATTGCATCAAAGTGTGGTTTGGATTCAGCCGCTGCTCGACGTGCATGTACAAGTTCACAATGCGAAAATATCGCAACGCCACAGACACCGCATCGTATTGCCCAAGGTTGACGTAGAAAAGGTCAATTCGTTGCCAACGGTGAGCTTATTGCAAACTTGTCCACGTCTTTGACATTTTCCCGCATCGCATGTCCATGCAACCCCGCTTCCCGTTCGGTTCGGCGCGTGATGTTGCAGCAGCAGCAGCAGCAGCAGCAGCAGCAGCAGCAGCCGATCCAGCCTCAACAGGCATTTCATCCTCAACAACAGCAGCCCTACCAACAGCCGCAGCCCTTTCTGCAGCAGCAACCCCAGCAACCTTACCAACAGGCAATGCTGCCCTTGCAGCAACAGCAGCCGCAGCAGCCTCCTGCCCAGGCCCGGCAGCCACAACTTGATCCCCAGGCGCAGCCTCCACAAATACAGCAGCAACAACAGGATCGTAGCTACGTCCAACAGTCGTCACAGCAGCCTCCTCCTCCTCAGGCTCAGCAGCCGCAAGCTGCTGCTCAGCAATCCACCCAACCCCAGCCGCTGGCACACAAACCTTCAGGCCCAGGAAGCTCCCAGCAAGAGAGCTCTACTACTACTACTCCCTCCGCTGGAAAGGATTGGGTGGCGACAGAGGTAGTGAGGGCAGGCATCGGCGGGATCGACCTAGCCGCGGCGGTCGGAGGGCTCCGGCAGACCGGGTTCAAGCCTTCGGACATCGGGGGCAAGACCGAGTTCTCGGGCCAGGGGCAGCGGGGCAGCGACGGCCGGCACGTGGCGGCGCCGCCGCTGGCCCAGCAGCAGCAGCGCACGGCGTACCTGGCTCCCCCCCAGCCGTCGGTGGAGTACGTCGAGGAAGGGCAGGAGGAGGAGGTCGTAGTCCGCGCCAGCACGAGGGAGTTCTTGGGCGCTCGCTCGGGGCTGAACAAGACGGGGCTGAGCGGCCGTCTGCAGGAGACGCCGCAAGAACCACCGCAGCCGCAGCACCAGCAGCACCAGCAGCAGGCCCCAACCCCGGGGGCCGCATCGACGAGGCCCTCTTACCAAGGAATCCCGCAGGCAGGGCAGCGGCAGGGGTTGCCGCAGCAGGAACAGAGGCAAGGTGGAGGTGCAGGCGGGGGGCAGCCTCCCAGCTGGCAAACCCGCCAGGGAGAGCTGAAGACCACGGGGCTCATAGCAGGCGGCGGTGGTGGTGCGGCACAACCGGGGGCTTCGGGTCAACAGGGATCCGCGCCCTGGCAGCAGGGTGCCGCGGGTTTGAGGCGGACGGGTTTGTAGCCTCATGGAAGTGGCAGGCCTACACGCGTTACCATGGGTCACTGTGCCAATGCGTGTGATTGTACTCATCGGCGCTTTGCACCCCTCGGAGCTTTCTCACTGGCTTGCGATAGACAGTACTTCCGCACCGGTATCGGTGATTTAGTACGTTGTACCTTTCGTGTGCATACCTGGGTGCGATAACACCGGCAAGACTCCGCTTCGGAGTAATCGCACCCCCGTGAAAAGCCCGCCTTGGTCGGAAGTAGTTTGCGGTTGAAATGGTGAGTCTCGTGCAGCAGGCCTTGCTGCAGGCGGGGTAGGACTGGTTGTTAGAAGGGGTTGGAGAGGGGGGTGTGCCTTTCACAAGCTAAAGGGTTCTTCGGGAGTGTTGTGTGTCGAACGTGAGTTGGGTAGGGAAAACCGGGAAGCATTCCGAGTTTTGAGGTGATGGGTGACAACGGGAGGGTCCGCCCTCCACTGTCGAGCGTCGCTTCCTCGTGAGAACGTTGTTGCCCTTGCTGTTTTGCATGGTTTTGCGTTGTCAACAATCGGCACGCCTGCTAAGTAGTGACGTAAAAATTTGATTAAGCCACCCGCTGCTTGAAGAGTTGTTTTGTTTCAAGCGGGACTGGATAGTGTCTAGGGAGGTGGTCTCCCGCAATCAATCGTTTGTCCATGTTTTGGCGTAACTGCGATCGGTATTGTCTCGTCCGTTGTCCACACAAAGTCTCACGTGGCTTTTCCAGAGTTTGCAGACCCCATCTTCAAGCGTGAGCAAGCCTTGTAGTCTACGGTTGTACAGTAGTACCATAGCGATGTTTGTATGGATTCCCGTACGATAGTCTTGCCTGCTTGGCTGCCTGTTTGTGTAGAACGGATGGAATCCTCCATCCCCCACGAAATGATCGATTTCCAGCCCGACCTGGCAGCACTGCTCAATGAGCATGCTCACAAACTAGTTGTTGAAGCTCGTCAAGGGTTGAGTGTAATACGCCGGCATTCATCATGGCGTCTGTGAGTTGGCGCCAGGACAAAAACAAAAAAGGGAGACGGCTCTAGCTCTACGTTGGAGAGGCAGCGGGTGCTCTGTTGGTGTTTGTCATGAGAAGACCGGTGATAGGCGCGTCATGAAGAGGGCGATTGTGTTTTCCTATGCTTCTGTTGGTTGTGCATGCGTCAAAGCTCCCGGTGCCGCCAACACGACCGACGAGGTTATAAGCACAAACAATGCAAAAACTTACGAGCAGGCGAACCGAGCATTCCGTTATTTCGTTATTTCATGTACAATCGATTGTTGTTGGCGGGGTAAGGAAACACCCCCGGGTAGGCCGTGGATATCGTCAGATCTCCGGGATATCGGGTCCCGTCGATACGAGTACGTCCAGGCTGTGTGTGACCCGGGTTTGTTCTGAGCACAACGATTTTTGGCACACTTTGCCTGGTAAACAGTATGAGTGACACCCCCGTACACATGCACGCAATGAACGGTCTTGCATTCTGGACGAACAATCGCGCCTAGATATAAGATCGTGGAAAACGCCTCCCTCGTGAAAGCAACCGGGGAAAATTGACAGTTCCGTTTCCAGAAACCGCGGACAAATGTGGGCTAGACACGAAAGAGCCAGCTTTCGGATTCCAGAAAAGCCAGAGACTGCTGTCTCGCCATCCCCCTCTCCACACGCCTTAATCACAAAGCAGAGAACGACCTCGACCAACTCTCAAGAAGTCACAAGCAAACAGCGATACCGAAAGACCAAGGACCAGCGACCATAAAACCTGTAACCAACGGCAAGCCAACGCATCATGAGCCTCACCAACAACATCGCAGCGACGTCATCGGGCCGTTCGAGGTAAGCCTTGGTTGCAGTAGCGGCACGTGGCCTGTACATGAGATGAGGCTCAAGTTGCACAACAGCGACACCAACTGCTTGCACAACAAGTCGCTATCCACGAGAGAGAACATCTCGGGAGTTACTGCTGTAGACAGAACCAGGTCGGCGCAACGTGACGAAGTATCATTGTTCGTGTGACAAGAGCAGTGTATCGGTCCATGGCGCGCCTCGAAGTATGTTGAAGGTCCGAGGAAGAATGCCGGTAAAGCAGTACCAACAAAAACAGCTGGTCGGAGTCGACTCGAGCAGTGTGCGCTGGGCCGATCGAGCGGGAAGCCTCTGCGCTGATTACGTTGCGGTGAAGCTTTCAGTCACTGCCACACCGTCCCGACTCGACACCGCAATCATATCAAAACTCCGTGCGAACGTTGTCCGGAAGGAAACTTTTCAATCAGAAACGCGTGCATTCACATCAAGAGAGAGCGGGTCTGTAGCTTGCTGAAACGTTGGTCAATACAAGACGACTGAACAAAACGAAAGTCTCTTGTGCCGCGGCGCGTGTGCGTCCCGCTACTGTTGTATGTAGTCTACATAGTGGATTGTTGACCCTACGATCTGCATGGACAAGCCATTTGTCGTTGAAGATAGTCATCCTCCTTGGTGTGCAACGCATACACAAGCCAAGAGAGCGGGTTGTTCGTGCTGCTGAACTTCCCGGTAACGCTATGACAAGACATAGATATGCTTGTACACGGATTTCATGGAAACAAGAATGTCAGAATAATAGTTGCAGCGCTGCAATGCAAGCAAACACTCAATCGATTGCACTTGGATGTAAACTTACTGCTTCGCTGCTTTCAACCAGTGTGCATCCCCCTCTGATGTCGATCAAGCTCGCACGCGCCACGCAGCTTTTGCAGCCTTGTTCTCGCTCTGTCTGCTTGCCCATGGTGTAAGTCCACGCGTTGCGCGACATTCTGCACTTTGCTTTTTTACCTCGAAATGCCTCTCTCTGCAACGCATCCAGCACCAAAGGGACCATTGAAGGGAAGTAGCATGTCCTCTTCATGAACAGCCACATGAGATACTCGACGCTCCGTGTACACACGAAGTCCCCGCCGCCACTGCCCTTCCCGACCGCAAACAACTCTTCTCGCCATACGCTTCGTGCGCATGACGTCTCATCAGGCCCACCATCGACGATGTCTTCGGTTCGATCGAACGGGAGATGCTCGCCCCCTGGGGGCTCGCCTCCCGGTTCCCCACGGCNAGCCACATGAGATACTCGACGCTCCGTGTACACACGAAGTCCGAACCCCCACTGCCCTTCACGGCCGCAAACAGCTCTTCTCACCATATGCTCTGCTCGTGCGCATGACGAATCACCAGGCCCACCATCGACGATGTCTTCAGTTCGATCGAACGAGAGATGCTCGCCCCCTGGGGGCTCGCCTCCCGGTTCCCCACGGCGAGGGACATGGTTCCGAGCGTCTCCAGCAGCCTCTTTCGAGACGGAAGCAGATCCCTCGACATGAACCTGGATTTCCACGAGACCAAGGACGGGTTCGAGCTGATTGCCGACCTTCCCGGGATGAAGCAAGAGGACGTCTCCATTGATGTTGACCAGGAATCCGGCGTGCTGACGGTATCGGGCGAGCGTAAGAGCGAGAGGGAAGAGAAGCGCGACGACAAGGACGGCGACAGGAAGTGAGTGGCCCGGACGCCCGGTTCTTGGACTCCCGTTCGCGTATGTAAAGTCCGTTGTGGTCCAATCGTCTCAAGGCTTGTCCGGATCACCTAGCTATCTAGGTGTTCATCGGCGTTTGATGCAATTTTATTGAGGCTTTGCCAAGTTGGTGGTGTGATGGCCTGGAAGACATGCAAGCTCGTGGTCACGAACAGCACAGAACGAAATTGCGGGGCAGTCATGGGCTGCTTCGAGCTTCTTCCCGGTCGGCATGAAGGTCGTCTACTGCTTACGGTAGCCAAGATCCTTCTTCGTGATGACACTCCATGACATATCCGAACGACCGAATCCCCCGCGCTCAATAAGCAAGTCGACCGACCTCGATCATGTTCCAGCCACAAGACGCTTCCCAGGCGTCGTTCTCTCTGTCCGCTAGATCTATAACTCTTGACGCACCCACCGCCCCTTCCGAATCGTTCGCTGTGTCTCTCTCGAATGAAAAAACGAACCCTCTCGTCCGACATCACAGGTATCACTTTGTCGAGCGTTCCTACGGCAAGACCTCCCGGTCTGTCCGCCTCCCGGAGGCAGCGAACACCGCCAACGCCAACGCCGACCTCACGGACGGCGTCCTGACCATCACCTTCCCCAAGAAGGAGGCCCCCGCCTCCAGCCGCTTCCGGATCCCGTTGGGTGGCGGCGGTGGCGGCGGTGGCGGCGGGGTCGGGTCTGGCGACGGAAAGGTTTCCATCAAAGGAGGCGCTGCTGCTACCGAAGGCGATACTGGGTCCTAAGGGTACTACGCTGAGTGACCTGGGGACAATCCGATAGTGATGATAGTTGTCGCCCTCGTANTTCCCCAAGAAGGAGGCCCCCGCCTCCAGCCGCTTCCGGATCCCGTTGGGTGGCGGCGGTGGCGGCGGTGGCGGCGGGGTCGGGTCTGGCGACGGAAAGGTTTCCATCAAAGGAGGCGCTGCTGCTACCGAAGGCGATACTGGGTCCTAAGGG